CTCTGCCAAAGGGTCCCAGTGCTTCGGCAACAGCGAGCCACCCCCGGCTGGCTGGCCCGGCCTCCCAAACCAAGTCCCGAGTCCCCGTAGCTCACCTTGTCCTGGAAACTAAGTGCTTTTTGGGGGTGTCTCCCCCCGCAGAAACAAAGTTCTTCACCCCCAGGGCAGCTCAGGGGACATGCTGAGCGGGCACCAGAGGGATGCTCAGGACTCTAAGTACCATGCAGCCGGCTCGGCTTGGCTCCGCGTCCTGCTGGTGCCGCCCGGCCCCGCTGCGGTGAGCTGAGCCGTGCACAGCTCCTGGTGTCCTGCACCGCTCTGCTCCCGCAGCCTTCTGCCAGCTTCCAGCAGGAGCTGGAGCATCACATGGTGCAACGCGGCAGCTCCTGCAGCAGTTTAAAGAGCGACTGACCCGATTTGGGGCCCGTCGGGCAGAGCTGAACTGAGAGGAGAAGGGAGTGGGCTGGACTGGGCTGCAGCGCCGGTGGGAGCCGGGCCAGCCTGGCCGGCTGGCCCTGGGGATGGAGAGGCAGAACAGACACAGCTCGGCAGCGAGGGGAGGTCCGGTGGGATGAGCTGAGTCGGAGCTGGGAGCAGCGTGAGTGTCAGAGCCCGCACCAGCCCCAGAAGTTGCCTCATGTGCCGAACTTGTTTTGGGTCCTGATTTTAGCATCAGAACCGACATCAAGATTTAGTATAAGCGCACTTTCTGAAGGGGATGTGAACCCCAAGGCAAAACCAGAACCAGCCTCAGCTCTGAGAGAGCAAGGACCCAGGCCAGCAAGCAGCTATGGACCAGGCGTTGCTCTGGGACCAGCACCCAAAGTAAGGACGAGAACTGGCACAGAGGGTGGAGAAATGCCTCTGAGGCAGTCCCAAAGCTGCATTCAGGCTCCAGCTGGCAGCATCTCACCCAAAATCAGTTCTGGGACAGACCGGGAATCAGCCTTTAAGCACCTTTCCTCCTTAGAGGTGCTGTCCTCTGAAAGGCACCCCTGGGTGCTGGGGTGGAGGGGTCCTGCACCCCGAGTGGAGGTGGAGGGAGGGCACAGGGCTGGCCTTATCCAGGGGCAGCATTCCTTGTGGAAGGGGCTGCACTGGTGGAAAACAGCTACTGTTTCCTATCGCCTGTGATCTGCAGCCCAGCCCAGGCACGGAGCAAGCTGCAGGGTGCAGCTCAGACCTTGGGGGGAGAAGGCAGGAGCTGTTTCCCAGCCCCAAACAAGGCATTTGAAGGGATTCATGTCCCAAACTGATGCTGAGACTGGCCCGGAAGCTATTTAAGATCACGAGAGAAACTACTGGGGAGTTCTGGGGAGCAATGACAACCCCGCAGTTTTTCCCCTTTTGATGGGTAGCAGAGAGGTAACGGGTTTGGGAGTTGGACCTGACTCGGATGGAGCTGAACCAGCAAGCCCAAAATGCCACAGCATGGCCCTTGCAGAGCTGCTCCCCCATGTAAGCTTCCTTGCACCCCCCAGTATCTCCAAGGACCCCCATCCCAGCTGCAGTCCAGGCACCCACAGGACCAATTCTGCATAAGCAGCTGGGTCCAGCTTATCTGGGTGCTGCAGGGACCAGGGCTGATACTTCATGTCTCTCAGTTCAGCCACAACCTCAGGCTGGCTTCGGGGAAGGGAACTCTCCCCACAGCTCTCCCGAACCCTGTTTGCCTCTCTCCCCATCCTGCTCCAGTAAGTTGGGGTGCTGAGGCAAGACACATCCCCCCGCTCTGCTCTGTCTCAGTGGCTTGCTCCGTCAGAGCTTGCACACCCCAAGGCAGGGATGCGGATGGCTGTGGGGACCGTCACCAAGCCTGGTGCCATATGTTGGGCTTCGACCTCGCCTCCTTGACAGAGCAGCTAGAGCGGGGCTGAGGGGGTCCACCATCCAGAGGTCATCCGGGGGCTGTGGCAACACGCCACCTCTGGGTGCTTTGGCTGTGCCAGCTGCGGGGCTAGGAGAGCTTATTTGGATTTAAAAGATCTGTTTGCTCTGCAGGGAGAAAAATAAACCAAAGAGGATGGCGGGTTCACATAAACAATTTGCTATTTATGGGAGGCATTTGCTGAAGTGTCTCGCAGCCCCTAGTGCCTCTCTTCACACATCCCCGTGGTGGGGAGGAAGCGTGCACCCTTTTATATGGCTCCAGCCTAAAACCAGAGGCAACGTGTGGGGCAAGTATTCTCAGAGCATACTCCCAGGCTGGGTCTGAGTTCCTCAAGGTGCCATGAGAGTGGGGAACGGAAAGGGCATCCCGAGACAGCCCCAAAATCTCTCACCTGCCTTTTTTCCATGGAAAGCGTCCTTGCACTCAACCTCCAGCTGGGAGAAGAGCAGGAAAACCAGCAGGTTAATCATGAGAATGAAAGGCTGAGCCAAAGGTGGGCAGGTCCCAGCCTAATTGTATGTAAATCTTCCAAATATGGCAATTAAAAAAACACTCCTTTTCCTTAGTGTGTTTCAGTGTGTTTCCCCCTGGGATTTGCATTCCAGAATACTTTATCTTAGCAGCACCCCTAAAAAAGAGGTCATACAGAGAACAAGCTTCCCAGCTGAGAGACCTGAGTCCCACCAAGGGCGCTGGTGGGAAGGGAGATATAAGCTCTCTTGCCAGCCTGAACAAACTTTCTTAGGACTCTGGCAAAGCCTGCAAAAATCGAGCAAGGCAATGTGCTCCGTCGTGATTGATGGTTGTTCCAGGTGGTAGTGCAGAGATCACTCCACGGGTCAGGCTGGCAGGACGTGGCGTCATCTGCTTGTCCTTTCCAGTTGAAAACGGGCTAGAGCATGTGTTGGAGGAGTTTCAGATAGTCCTTAAAAGAAACCCAGGAAACACAATTTGCTTGTGACCATCAGGCGCCCAGCAGGTTACCCAAGTCCTCCAGGCTCTTGCTGGGGTTTGGAAGAAGAAAACGTCCTGAGAGCTGCAACAGGTTGTGACGTTCCTGAGGAAGTATCAGATGAGGCTGATACGGACATCTTCTGCTGGCAAATACCTGGTGTCATCTGCCCCTCTCCAGGAGTAACACGGGATGAAGGACGTCATGAGTTACAGGCTGCTCGACGTGCCAGAATGCTCCTGACCTGGCTTTTCCAGCTTGCTGTCTCCTGCGAGTGGGGGACGGGAGCAAACCTGGGCCACTCCAGGAAGAGAAAGCAGGAGCGTTCAGCCCCTGGAGCCCTGCCAGTGTGACACACCGAACGGCTCAGCGTGTCGGGGCTGGGGCTCGCTGTGCCGGCCTGCCCAGGTGATGAAACCAAACCCCTTTCGCACACCTCCAGGGCTAGGCAGGAGTCAAGAAATGCTTTTTCTGAGAAAGCATGTCAGGACGTGGGTAGCTCAGTTCCACCCCTCCCTTATTTCAGGCCTCTCTTATTTCCGGTAAGTGTGATCTTTGTCTCCAAATGCTCAAGGCAGGAAAGGCTGAGAATTTTTCCACCTCTATGGTCACAGGGACCATCCCAGAATCCCTCTTGTCACAGAAGGGGCCTCTTAATTAGGGAAGTTAATTACGAGCGTGGCTTGTGCCAGCAGGGCAGGGCTGTGTCCTTGGAGGGCTGACACTCTTCATGAGATATTAATTAAGATGACTGACACTCCCGAACGCCATGGTTCGATGGGTCCAGACAAAATGGCACAAGGAGAAACGGAAGCAGCAAACAATGGGGAAAGACAGAAGCTTTTCCAAAGGTGCCTCTGTTGTGCTGGGATGCTGGAAGAAGAAATTAGGAGACTCAGTGGCTCCAGCCTCAGACTACTATGTTTTTTGAGGATGTCCTCAGCAAACAGGGTTAACCCGGAGCAATTGCAAGGCTCAGCTTCACTTGGCGGTGCTCAGCCCTGCCACAGAACGATGCTTGCACTGTGGTGCCCGCCCTGGTGCCACTGGGGTGGCGAGGAGTCCCGGCGGGCGTCAGCATGTGGTGGGACATTGCTCCCTGATTTGTTCCCTGTATCTCCTGCGGATCAAGTGGGCTGATGCAACGTGCGGTCCCAGGGCTATTTGTCTCCCATTTACAGCGGTACACAGTCTATGTCCCATGGGAAGCCATTTGGGTGGCAAGGAGTGTCCTGCCTTTCCAGAGCGGAGCATCCCCTTCTGGACTCACTGCAGGGTTCAGGAGCCGCAGCAGATACTCAGCGGTTGTGACACAGCTTAAAAAAAAATTCCTGCGAGGTAGTCTGAAATGTGAAGTCCCTTCATTTTCTTTTAGGATCCTGAGCAGGTAGGTCTCATGCTGGCCACATTTTCCAGCTTTTCTGCACGACCACAAAGGGTAATTTTTTTCATCAGGAGGCTGATCACAGGACTCCCAGAGCAGGGATTTTTAACATTAAAACACCCAGCGCTGAAAGACGATGGAGAGCTGACTGCCTTCCTGTGTGGACTGACACTTTCCACCAAACACATCTCAGCCCTGTGGCCGAAAGCACTTTTTGAAACAGGTTGGCAGCACTACCCATGCGCAAAGGAGAAACTGAGTAATGGGTTGTATCTGGGGTCATTCGGCAAGCGGGTGCCAGAGCCAGGATGCGATTCTGCTCTCCTTAGCCCCTGCTAAATACTATCCTCATTAGGCTGCTGGCTCCCACGCACAGGGCTGGAGGGACAAGGCCAGCAGCCAGCCAGTGAGAGGGGCCAAACCCAGCTCTGTGCCCTGCCAGATGCCAACCAGATGTTGTCTGCAGTCTGCTGGGCTGCAGCCAAGTCCAGCACTTTGGCCCTGCTCCATCCCACCCTCTGCAAGACATTTAACCCCAACCCCTCGGATAAACATTAGTCATGGTTTCCTGCTCTCTCCAAGCCCCTTTAGCTGCAGGCAGAGCAAGGAAAAGGCCACCATGCCACACCGTCAGGATGGCAGGAGGAAGGATGCTCACAGGGCTCTGGAGCCAGCGTGACCTTGGGCCTGGATCTGGTAGAGAAGAAATGCTGAGCCATCGCTAGATCTAAGAGAAAATAAGTCTCCGAAGTGCCGAAACGCAGCCACCTCTCCCTGCCAGCGTTTTCCTTGGCGCGGTCGCTGGGTAGAGCAGAGGTCTCACTGGGTGTGCAGCATGCTCCAGATGGCGGAAGGGTGCTGGCGCCTGCCTCTGAGCCCCAACCCAGGCCCTTTGCCTCCTCGCTGATGTATCTTCCTTACCACGTGCAGGGCCTATTTTAATCCCAAGTGGCTGCTGGAGGGAGCGCCGTGAGCATTATCAAGCCAGGCCGCATGCCAAGAGCTATTCCTAAACACCACTTCTAGCCTTGCGAGCAGCGCAGGAGGGAGTTAAATCTTTCCACCCCTGCAAGTCAGCATGCTGCAGTTTATCGGACGAACGAAAACTTTTTCCCTCACTCCATGGCCATCCCTTAAACCAGACAAGTGCTATCGAAAGAGCCTTTTTTTTCCTGTGCCCCGCGTAGAGGCGGGCTGGTGCTTGCCACCTTTGGCTCTGT